CTCCAGGATTATCTTCTGTATCTCTGTCAATTGGTTTCTGTTTTCTTTGTTGAGGAGGGTCTGTGTGACTAAGTCCCCCACTCCCCAAGATTTTTTCTTGATGGGAGACTTTTTATTACTGATTTGATCTCTTCCCTTGTTATGGGTCATTATTTGTCTTTTTATTATGGAGTCATACATACATGCCCTTTATCAGAGATAAGATTTGCAATAATTTTTTCCCATTCTGTGGGTTGTCTTTTCACTTTCTAGATGGTGTCCTTTGTAGCATAAAAGTTTAAGTTTTTTGTTTTTTGTTTTTTTAATAAAGTCAAGAAGTTATTTGTGCTTTTGGTGTCATATTAAAAAAAAACTATTGTTGAGTCAAAAGTCAAGGACTTATGCTTGTTTTTGTTTTCCAAGAGTTTTATAGTTTTAACTCTTACATTTAGGCCTTTAAATTTCAATTGATTTTTTGCAAATGATATGAATAGGGGTACATCTTCATTGTTTTACATGAGATTTCCAGCTGCCTTTGCTTTTGTCTAATAAAAGAAACACTGGTATTGATCTAGCTAAGAGTGTAACTTTATTAGGAAGATGGGTGAGTAGTGGGAAGAATGCTGAATATATGGTAGGGGCAAGGGAAGAAAGTGAGCTTAAACCTTTCTCTTCCATAGAGGCAAGTCAATAAATAAAACCCAGAATAGGAAAGCAAAACAAAACAAACAAACAAACAAAAAAACAAAAAAACATCAACAACCAAGTAGTAGCAATTGTTTTGTAAGACTTAAAAATTTTCACGTTATATTTTGAGATTTACAGAGCTCCAAAAAGGCCTTACTATGAGTTTTCTTGCTCTTGCCAGATAGGTCCCTTTCCATCTCTGTAAAAAAAAAAATGTGTGACAGTGCCTAACCTCATTTAACTTCACAAGGTGAAGGAGAGAGAATCAAAATCAACATTATCCCAAAGCTAATCCTAATGAGGTGGAAGTCAGGTTCTTTCCATCCTTTTTATCAATTGTGACACCAGCTGTCTCTTCTATGACACTCTCTAATTCTCTGCTGGGTTCTGTAATTCATTTCAGTGGCCACAAAGAACTCACAGATGATACTCAGTTGTGGGGTTTATAAGGGAAATGTAACAGGTTACAATTCAGGGTCAGGAACAATTCAGAATACAGTTCTTTGGTCAGGGCAGCTGCTTAGCCTCTGCCCTGATTGAGCAAGTGTTGTGAAGCTCTTTAGATCCTCCAATAAGTGTCTGGAGGTACCAATAAGCCTTCTGCCCTAAGGCATTTAGCTCTCTTACTTCCTGGGTCAGGACACTATTGTAGCAATCTTGCTCCCAGGACCAAGAAGCCTACTGTGCCATCTTGCATCACTCTCCTGATTCTGCTACGGCCATTTCTCTGCTGCTGGATTCCGCTGGGCTTGAACTTTTCACCATCTTTCCCTGTCTCCAGTGTTACAGTTCTCTTTGTCTCCTGGGCTTAGGTTTCTCAGTGCAGGGACCCCAATTCCAGAGGATGTGCTCTGCTCTTGGCTCTTCTTCTGATGGTAGTAAAGTCTCCTTTCTAGCCCCTGGGATAGCTCACTTTAAGTCTAGTGGATGGCAAAACTGACCAATCCCCTCATTAGGATTCCATATGCCTTATTTACATGATCCCACCCCCACAAGTGTTCCATGTACCTTATTTCCGTTGTTAGCAAGCTGTCTAATCTTTTTGATAGGCCACAACCTTGTTTTCATAGTCCTACCTCATCATTTTGTGGGTGTCACAATGACATAAATGGCCAGAAAGACCATATTAAGTAATTCACTGTACCACATTCCATAGCATGAAAGGCTCCCTACCCAGTCAGCTGGTCCAGCTGCACTCTACCTAGTCCTCAAACCTAACAGGTGTCATTTCCTACCAGTCCACAAAAGTATTCAAACTAGCAAATCATGTCCTCCTGTGGGAGTCAGGCTCACTCCACCTCTTGTTACTATAAAGCCTGCTTCCCACAGCCCCTGCTGGTTCACTCTGCTTCTGAGTGCAACTCCCATGTGGATCTGCATAGTGTTTGGTGTCTTCCTTTCTCTCACTGTGAGTATACATGATGAATGAACTGCTGTCAGTCTCATCTGTCCAGTGTCAGCTATCATGTGTTTGGTCTTCCCTATAACTCTAGGATGAGAATCTCTGCCTCACCTACAGGATGAATGGGAGGTGATCAGAATAGCAGTGCAATCATGTTATTTAGAAACATGAAGGTAAATACCAAAACAATTACCTAAAAGAAGTGAAAGTGATTTCCTCTGTGTAGACTGAAATGGAAGGGGTGGGGCAGGGTCAGAGATTGCTGGAGTTTTTTTTACTAACTTTTTGTAATTATTGTGCCTAATTTGGTAAAGAAGGTCAAGCAATAATAGGAAGATTCTAAATAAAGAGAGTAATGAATGAAGATCAATCCTGTTAGATAATAAAATTTATCATAAAACCCCATTGCTGTTGAGTTGTTTCTGACTCATCGTGACCCTATAGAATAAAGTAAAATTTCCCCATAGGGTTTCCAAGGCTATAATTTTTACAGAAGCTGACTGCCACATCTTTCTCCCATAGAGCAGCTGGTGAGTTCAAACCATAGACCTTTCAGTTAGCAGCTGAACACTTAACCACTGTGCTATCAGAGTTCCTGCAAAATTTACCACACAACCAGGTTTGCTAGTCCAATAGAGCCTGGTGGAACCGCTGAGACTGTGGCCCCTAGCTGCTCTTCAGGTCTGGAACTGAACCCACACCTGTGGTTTCCAGCCAAACAAAAGACAGGCATATGAGTTGAACATTTACCTGAGGTAGCTACACTCCTTGGAGAGAACAATCATGGGAGAAAGAAGGGCTGCTAATGCACAGGGAGACAGCTCAGGGGGCAGGAGTGCATGGAGGGATGGACACTGGGAAGAGGTAACTATGGGGAGGAAGTGGGAGGGGAGTTGTTACATTGTGGTAAATTGTGGTCAGTGTCATGAGACAAAGTGTATGTGAACTGCTGTATGGAAAGTGAATTTGCTCTGTAAATCTTTACCCAAATCACAATTAAAAAATAAATAAATAAATAAAATTCAACACAGAAAAAAAAAATTACCACACAGCTAGAGTGTGTTGTGTTTAAGTGTTTAACATGTGTTGTTGTGGTTGTGTGCCGTTGAGTGAAATCCAACTTGTAGAAACCTTATATAGGAGAGAGTAGAACTACTCCATAAGGTTTCCAAGACAGTAATCTTTATGGGAGCAGACCACCAGGTCTTTTCTCCCATGGAGCTGCTGGTGGGTGTGAACCACTGACTTTTGGTTAGGATCAGTGGAACAGGATATGAAATCCAGAAATTGATTTAAATCTTGTAAGAACTTAGTGTGTAATAAAGATGATAGTTCAAATTAGTGGAAAAGAAAAATTATTCATTGAAAGATGTTGGAGTAAGTGAGTAGCCAGCTATTCAGAAAGAAAGTTGGATACACACTTTCTACCCACTTTTGAACCAAGAGGATGAAAGATTTAAATGTAAAAAATAAAATCATAAAAGTACTGGTTGACAAAAACTACAGCAAAAACCAGGGACATAGTAAAAAGAAGGTGACAGGAAGTGTGAGTGCACCTTTCTTTATCTTTATAGCAGGAAATATTAGAACTGGTCAAAAATAGAAGCTTATAAAAATCCTACCCAAAACCTCAGGAAGTTTTCACAATCTCTTTTGTTAACTTTAGAGGTGTATTTTAGGAAATAATATATTGAAGTAAGGAAACATTTATCTTCTATTTCCAGTAGCCCTAGAAATTAAAAAGTGGGTATCATAATGTGTGGAAGATATTTATGGTGATTTTAACACTTTTATTTACTTTTTTTCTCATCTGTAAAATACAAGTTCATTCTAATGTTTTTGTTAACTGTATTCTGTCTTTTTAATACAAATTTTGTTTTTGCTATATATACACCAACAAATGCCACTTAACCAACATTTAAAATAGTTATATCTGGAAGGTGGAATTAAAAAAAAAAAACTGCAGTACATTATTTGTATAATAAACATGTATCATTTTAATAAAATGATTAAGACATTTAAAATATGAAATATTCAAGAGTAAAGAATCAATTTTTAAATTCTTCCATTGGGTTTACAGTTTACAATACATTTCTTAGGCAGTCAGGGCTTTCTCGCTATAATGTTTTTAGGAGGACCAACACTGATACGTAGTCATCGTGAGCAGGACTGAGGGACCCATTGTACTTTGTTTTGGTTACTTTGTAGATGGGCCCAAATTGAAAAGGCTTAGAGGAACATTAAGGACACTATCATGAGGTCGTGGGGGATAAAAAAATGAAGGACATGATCCTTGTTAACAAGTTACATAGGAAATGTTCTTAATATTTCTGGGTGTCTAGAAGTGTATTTTTTCTTCTGCTTCTCCTGGAGTTAATTTGAAGGTGAGCATTATGTGCAGGTTGTAAACTCATGGAAGGCAGGATCAAGCTACTTTCTCACTTTTTCAGCCCGTATAAAGCCTAGTGCATTGTCTTCGACTGTCTATGTTGTTGTTGTATTGTTGTTATGTGCCATCGAGTCGGACCTGATTCATAATGACCCCTCCTTGGGTTTCTGAGGCGATATCCCTACGGAAGTAGATTGCCCAACCTTCCTTCCGAGGAGTGGCTGATAGGTTTGAACAGCTAGCCTTCTGGTTAGCAGTCAAGTCCTTAGGCACTATGCTACCTGAGCTCCTTCAATTGTCTATAGATGTTTGAAAATTGAATTGATTTAATATGGGAATTTTTTTTGAGCTGACAGCAGAGCAAAACAAAGGTCAACACACTGTACGGCTGCCCTGATGAGCCCACCAGATAGAGTTTGGATCATAAAACTTTAAATTTGCAAAAATAGAGACCATTGTCTTTATATAATTAAAGAACATATCGAAGAGTGGTTTAAATATGCATTAATATTGTCATTTTTTTTCTCTATTCTTGTCTTCCAGGTATATCACACTTTGTTTTGGCCTCTTGAGTGGACAGTAGCTGGCAGAGACAATAATACTTGTTATGCAAAGATAATATGCAATAGACTTGACAATGTATGTGATATGATGGAAAGCTGTAATTTTTTAAAATGTAATTTTGACTCCTAATATTTGGATTTTTATAATTCCTTTAAAGTTAGCTTTTCATTTTTGTTGTTGTTGGTATGTGCTGTCAAGTCATCTCCAACTCATAGCTATCTTATGTACAACAGAATGAATCACTGCCCAGTCCTGTGCCAGCCTCATAATCCCTATTTTACCTGAGCCCATTGCTGTGTTAATCCATCTTGTTGAGGGCCTTCCCCTTTTTCATTGACCCTCCACTTTACCAAGCATGAGCAAGGCAGAAATTATTCAAATTGTTACCCAATTAATGTATTTATGGAGGTTGAACAAGTGACAGATTGAATGGAGCTTTAGTAATCCTCTATCAAAATATATAATTGAAAATTTTCTGTTTTCATAGGTCTCTAACTAGGCAATTTAGAATTTGATAATGTGAAAATTTTGGTCATCAAATAATAAAATGTAAGAGCCCATGTTTTTCTGCATTTTGTAAGCTGACTGTGTTGTCAGAATGCCTTTAGAAAGAGAAGCTTACAAAAAGCTACAACTCTAATTAGTTAATTAATTCCTAATTAAGCTTTTCAATAAAGGAGAAGGAATGGGATGGATAATCCATAATAGTAAGTTTTTACCTTCTTCATAGTCAGGTGGATAACAAAATTGTAACCAACTCCCTTACCATAATCTAAAGTACAATTTATATGTGACTTTCTTTTTCTTTTAACATATACAGAATACTGAATGTAGAATGCAGTGTTAAGAATTGGTTCTTCCCCTTTTAAGAGTTCATAATCTATTTGGGGAGATAAGACATAAAAATAGATAAATATGAACATCAACAGTGGACATTTATATAAAGTTTAAAAAATAACATCATTATCTCATTTAATTCTCATATGGACTCTGTATTCATCTTATTCTCAGTATGACAGAAAATGGGAGGAGGGGGGTCACAGATGATAGCTAATTAATTAGCATGTGTTCCATTGCCTGAGTGATGAAGACCCTGAGCAGGGCAGTGATAAGGGACCTTCATCCTGGTGGCCCAAATGCTACAGAGTAGGGCCAGATTGACAGCTGTGCTCCTGATGGCTGGCTGTCATTGTGTTTGACTACATTCTGATTATTTGGAACCAAGTAATCTGAGTTTAATGTGGTGATTATGGGCAGCCTTTCCGAAAGGAAATGGATTTCTCCTGATTTTCCCTTCCTTCCTTCCCAAGTGTGAGGGCCTGGGGTTTGATTGGTAGAACCACTGCTGAAATTAACATTTGCAACCTTCCATATTATTTCTGATTTAACAAAGGTGTTGACTGGGGCTATCTAGACCTAAGACAGAATTCCAAGGTTTATTTAACCGCCTTTGAATGCCTTCTACTTCTGTCCCTTGACTCTCCCTCCACTTACCCTCAACTCCCACCCAAGTCTCCCAGTTTGTCCTCATGGTTGCCCTTTGTCCACCGGTAAAGCTTGTCCCTTTCCTTTGAGCTCTGGTGGTATAGTGCCTAAGGCATTTGACTGCTTAGGTATTACCCTAGCATATATAAAATGAAATACTATTTTATTATAGCTGTATGGTGAAAACTGTAAGTGATGTTTTCTTTCTCTAGCTCTACCTTTGTTTATTTATGTTTTGTTTTCCAAACCTATTTATTGCTGTAATGATATGATTGATGCATATGTCATAACTCATAAGCTGAAAATTCCCTCATTTCACATTTCAGTGTTCAAGCATACTACTTCATTTCCTAGACAAATGTTAATCCATAAGTACTCTTTGTGTTTGGACAGTATGTTTTAAGATTCAAGATCATATAAACCTTCTAGAATGTGAATCGGTGAAGTTTTTGGTGTCCTTTTCTGTTCTTTGTCTCCATCTGTTGTACATTTTTACTATTAAAAATTAAAAGAAGGTGTGATGAAAAACAATTGACAAATGAACAGCCTAAGTTGAAATCTTTCCTTAGAAAACTCACTGTCATCGAGGCGATTCAGAGTCATAGCGACCCTTCCTTGGGTTTCCGAAGTAGCTTGCCCAGTCTTCCTTCTGAGGAGTGGCTGGTGGGTGTGAACCCTTGGCCTTCTGGTTAGCAGTCAAATGCCCTAGACACTATGTCACCAGAACTCCCTACCTTGCGAAATGATGGCAAATCAAACTGCCTGTCTTTGTAGGTCTGCTCCTTCTGTGGAGACACAGCTGCTCTGATATACCTCTGCATTCCCCACCTGCAGGCCTGGGTCCAAGCTCAGTACAGACCACTCCTGTTAGAAACAAGGCCTCTGGCTTCCCTAGCCAGCAAGCTCATTTCCAGTAAAATCTGCTGTTTTAAATTTATTCTAGTATTGGACTTAATTTAGATTTGTTATGTTGTTGTTTAGCACTGCTTCAGCATAATTTAGAAATATATATCATATTAATGAACTCCTTCATACAGTTGGTAAATTGCTTGTTCTAGTAAATTTGAGTGCAAATTAACTCTGGATGTGCATTTACTGGCTCATTTAACAGATTCTTACAGTGGCTTATGGTAATGATGTCTGCTCAATTCAGCACTAGAGCTCTTTTTTTTTGTAGTAGATGCTGTAAAAGATGCTGTAAATTTTAATTGTGAACTCACAGTGAGTAATTCTTATTCAAATTATTGACCTATTGGGATTCTCTTTGTTTGTTCCTATATTAAAGGATCGAGTAATAGGACTTCATATTCTTGGACCAAATGCTGGTGAAGTTACCCAAGGATTTGCAGCTGCAATGAAATGTGGTCTCACAAAACAGCTACTCGATGGCACCATTGGAATTCACCCCACTTGTGGGGAGGTATGGAAACAGGAATTTTATTGTTAGTGTTTAAAAATAGTTTAAAAAACTATTATAAAGCACATTGCCAGTAATTGTATTAGTAATTGCTTTGTTACATACATGCATATATATATATATATATATATATATATATATATATATATATATATAATCTTTTTTTTTTTAAAAGAATAATGTAATATTCAGAATGTTTTTCTTTAAGCAATACTAATGTCTAAATACATGTTTGTTTTGTTTTCTTCCTTTTGAACAGATATTCACAACTTTGGAAATCACAAAGTCATCGGGACTAGATATCACTCAGAAAGGCTGCTGAGGTTAGATCCTGCTGCTTTTTCATTTTCCTTGTCATATTCGTGTTTCCTCCAGAAACCGAAGACCACTCTCAGAAAATAAATCTGTGGTCCTAACCCCTGCCATGTTGTGGAAGGGCTGAGAGTGTAGACAAGGAAGAAAGGAGAGTAGCAGGACATCTTCTTCAGTACCTTTGACTTAACTTGGAGAAGCAGCTTCACTGCTTTCATGATGTCTTAGCTTGGAACCCCATTGAGAGGGAAGCTAAGACCGACTCTCTTACAAGTCAGAATACTCTTTTTTTTTTTTTTTAATTTAGGAATTGAGTTTCCTTTTTTACTACATGATTAATCGAAGCTAACTTTTCTGGTTGCTAGTGTTTTTTATCTCTTTGCTTTGCTGTTTCTGTGAAAATATTTTTTGTTATAAAACTGACTGTAAAGTCTCATTCTTCCAGTGATTAGGCTAGAATTCACATGTGGTCTCTGACAAGTGTGGCTGTCATCTGTTGAAATGCACTGGATTAGCTGACTGCAGAGGTTTGGGTGGCACTGGTAGAAAGTTACATACGTTGTAAAGAGTTTAGTTAACACTTTTCTCCCTTAAGTACATTTTAACTCACTGTCAAAAGTCTGACTGATGCTTTCCCCTTTTATGCATTTCCTGATGGTAACAACCTTGAAGTCATTCTTCTCTTATTAGTATCTCTAGACTGAGCAAAATGTCTCATGTAGGAGAAAAGTGCTTGAATTTCTTTTTCATGTTGATCTTAAGAGTAATTAATATTTAAAAGTTTGTAATACTATGTTATATGAGAATGTAATTTAAAACGTTAAAATTATTAAATTTAATAAGTTATTAAATTCAATCTATTAATGACAGTCAAATTCAGTAAATGAACAGATGATATGTGGTTTTTTTGAATTTACAAACATCTCAGTCTCTAAAAGGCCCTAGGAGAGGTAGGCCTATTCATGGTCCTTTTGGAAGACCTCTTGTCTTCTGGTGCCTACTCAGGGCCCTGAGGCAACCTTTTGTTTTTGTGAGTAATGTCCTATCATTTAGTCCAGTTCTATAGGGTTAGGTAGTTTTATGGTCAAAATTGCTAGACATAAATTTTAAAAGAAAAAGTTTAAACCCATGAACAATTAGTGAACCACCTCATCTGTAACAATTATTGTACCATTTGTAAACAGGTATTTTTCTGCTCTCCCTGCCTGGGGTAGGATGAGGATGGCAACCTAAAGATAATGAATACAAAGTTGCTTTCTTTTTTTATTGGAGAGAGAAAACTACAAGAGTTACTGTCTAAAAAGTAAGACATGGTGTAGTGATTGCTATAAGTGAGGTAGAAACAGTACAATGGGAAACATGAAGATGTTATTAATTTCCATTGGATATGGGGGCGGGATGGGGTAATTGATTTAATGAAAGCAGCTATATTTGAGCTAGGTTATAAGGGATGGATGGGATTTAAAAATAGAAGCAATATGGAGAGGGTCTGAATGAAACTCTCAAGTGATTCAATTAAAATATCAGATTCAAATCTTTTAAAACTTGTTTATTCTTCAACGTATTGCTGAGTCTCTGTCCCCCCCACCCTATCCCCAGCACACACACAACCAAGATTTTCCAGAACCATAAAATGATGTGAAATCAGGAATCCTGGAAGCGTTGAGCTTTTGCTTCGCCCTGGACATGGAAGAAAAATGTTAACACCCAGACCTACCCAAGTTGATGTATCTAATAGGAAACCTCCATGTAAAGCGGTGACCCCAGTACACTATACCCTCAGTGGAAGGGCAAATAAAAAACAAACTTCCTCACAGAAAGGGGCAGCAAAGGAACTTGCCTGTCTTCTCACTGGCATGGTAGAAAGAAATAATACACCCAAAGAATTTGTAACTGCTATCCAGGTTACAGGAGCCCTAGTGGCACAGTGGTTAAGTGCTCAGTTGCTAACCAAAAGGTTGATGGTTTGAACCCGCCAGCCACTCTGAGAGAAAGATGTAGCAGTCTGCTTCCAAAAGATAATATTCATTGGAAACCCTATGGGGTAGTTCTACTCTGGCCAGTGGGATTGTTATGAGTCAAAATCAACTTGATGGGTTTAGGTTTTTTTTTTTTTTTTAATCCAGGTTACACAATTGAAAGACTAATTATCCTCCCTTTGCATGGAAGGGAGAAGGCTTAGGTGTAAAGCTATCTGTAACTTTCTACATCTATAATCGGCTGCTGCTTATTTATTTATTGATTTTCTCCTTCCTCTCCATTTCATTCTCCCCTTCCTCTTTTCTCTCCTGGGGTAACTACAGACCCATTTTAATGGTGAGAGATTCACTTTACCTAGAAGATAAAACTTGTATACATCTAATAATATTCAGGTACATACAGATCTATAAGAAAAAATTGACATCCTCCATTATAGTGGAGATTTTTACTATACCTCAGTATTTTATCAGATCAAACAGACCCCCTTCCCCAAAAAAAACCGGTGAAGATACAGATTCGAATAACAAAGTTAACAAGCTTGATTCAATTAACTTATTTTATATACTCAACTTGAAAACATACTTGTTTCAAGTACACACAGAATATTTATGAAATTTGCTGTGTGTTAAGCCATAATGACTAGGCTCAACAAATTTCAAAAGATTGGTGTCATAAAGGGGTATAGAAAAAGCATTTCAGCTGTGGGACCAACACTAGGCACTTAAAGACCTTAAAACTGATAGAGTAGAAGCAAAGTGGGGTATGAGGGTAGAATAAGGTGAGTGAGGGCTTAGTGGGAATAAAGCTGGAAAGGTTGGTTAGAGTCAGTTCACAAGAAGCAGGGAACTATGGAACAATCCTAGGCTTTGAAGAATGATAAGACTTAGGAAAACCCAGACCCATATCTTCCTTGATGTGTGACGAAATGAATTACTTAACCTTTCCTGTTCATTTAGTAAATGTGTACAGTATTGCCTGTAGATCAGACTTCAAAGAATTGAATAATGTCTATTATATTGCCAACATATAATAGCACATTGATGTGGAGTCTCTTGGCTTCCATGAGGATGATTAGGGGCCCTATTAAGAAAAGCTCTTATAGACACACAACAATATAGTCAATAGAAAAGCAGACAGGATTGTTGTCAAATCAGGGCTTTGGCAGACTTTCCCTGTGTTAGGCAACCTGTAAATTGACCCCATATTTGGTTGCCTAACTACTGGTTTTTACATCTACCTTGTATCAAAGCCGATTTGTGTGACCAGTAGCATACAAAGAAGCAATGGTATATGATTGTCAAGAGTAGCTTATAAAAGGCCTGCAGCTTAAGTTTTGGCCACTCTCTCCTACATTCTGTCACTTGGATTACTTGCTCTGGAAGAAGACAGCTGCCATGTTGTGAGGACACTTTGGCAGCCCATGGAGAGGCCCATGTGGTAAGGAACTGGAGTCTCCAGCAAGAAAGCCCTCAGGCAGCAAGATACTGAGGTCTGCCAACAACTAATACAAGTGAACTTGGAAATGGATACTCCCCTCAGTCAATCCTTCAGATGAAGCTGCATCTCCAGCCAATAGCTTGCTTTCAACCTCTTGAGAGAAGTTAGTCCAGAACCACTCAGACCACTTGGAAACTACAAGATAATAAATGTTTGTTGGTTTAAGCTGCTAAGTTTTAGAGTAACTTGTTAAACAGCAATGGATAACTAATACATTTACCAAGAGAAATTAAAGTTCATATAAATCTGAAGATAACTGAAGTGTCCTGGCACTGTGTGTCTTTATTCTTAGGACAGACAGACCTCAGGTAGATTTGGGAGTTCAGTAAACAGGAATTGGAGCTCAGACTTAAGGCTGAACTTACCTCATCATTGCTGATAAGGAAACCCTAAATAGGAAAGTTCAAAGGACCTCACTTGAGTATGCTCTAAGTAAGTGATCCTGGGCTGTGACTGTGAGGGCTTCCTGCTAAATTTCCTTGGAGCACCTATGACTATCAAAGCTTACAGAAAAGATTACTAGGGAAATTTGTTCATCATAAGAAGCTGAGTTTATTAAACTTAGTAATGAGGAGCATTAATTTGAGTCTCAGTAGCACCTCAAAAGGTACTAGTGAAGGTGACTTACAAGGATTTGGAGATTGGAGTTACTCATAGGGTAGTTAAAGGGCAGAAGTTCGTGAGTTAGGGGGCAGTGGTTGATAAGAATTTGTTAAGTAGTCTAGTTGCTGGAACAATCTCATCTCTCTTTAGAATTTAGAATATATGAGACCATATTGAGCTCTTCTTATGTAGTCTTATAACATTTGGATGGCATGATCTGACACTGAAACAGTTTGAGCTTAGATAATTTGCTGTATGCCATTGTTTAGGACACTTTATATGTTTTTGAGTTACAGTAGTTTTTTGAGTTGTGGTTTGTTTTATTTCCTAATGAAGAATCATCTAATGCTTTGAAGCAGTGAAATGACAAAGGGGATCAGTTAGGACTGTATTGCAAGAGATCATCAAATATTTATTGAGACTTCTACTTCCAGCCATGCAAGGATTTAACTTTTTCTCCATAAATAAACTAGAGAAAATATGAAACAATTGTGCTGAGACATAGAACAACATAAAGCACTGTGGTCCCTGAGGAAACAAGGTGAGTCCTACAGTTGGCCCAACTTTCTTCATGGAAGTAGTTTTTGAATTCTGGACATATAGTGAGAGAACCCAGACAGAACCTGGTGACCTTGCTGGTTGAGATGGATACTGGAGTTTAGAGAGGTTGAGGCAGGTGGAAATTATGGAAGAGATGCAGATGGTAGCTCTGCAGAAAAAGAGCTCCGGAAATCTGCAAAAGGATCTCTTGAGTCTTTGCTGGGTATTAAGCCACACATCATTAGAGTGACATTTTTAGAACACCTGGTAATAAACAGGGAGTTGTAAGTTGAAAATCACAGAAAGTAAGGAAAATTTTGAGCTCTGACCAGCAGTGTCAATCCTCAGTGATCTCCCCAGGTATGTAGTGGAGATCCCATAAATAGGCCT